ACATGCTAAGACAAAATGTGTCACATGGGTCACACTAGTGGAAATTCAGGATTTTTTAAAATATTGCCTTGTAGAATTAAGAACATAAAACTTGTATAGTATTAAAATATGGATTATTAGCCAAGATTTTATGCTGTTCTAATTGGTATAACATAAACATAAAGTATTTTAATAAATTTTGAATGTAAGACACTAAAATCTTGTCATGCACAGAAAAGGGTAGCCAGGGTTAACAAGTTTGAAAACCCATTTTTCCAAAATCTCTCAAGCAGTACATTCTAAATTTCTTCAAAACATTTCTCATGTCATCCACTGGTAAATTCCACATTTGACTACTTCATTTGAAAATAAAGGAATGAAATCGGTGTATTGAATTTAAACCTTAAGACTAAATCTAAAACATTTCTCTCAATAAACTATTAACCTTAATTCTTTCTGTATGACTGTGTCAAAGTGTAATTAAACAGCTTTATATTATCAATGTATGTCAGAAAACTTGACATTAAAACATAATTTATTGTTCAAAGTTTTATACGAACTAAGTTTTAACAGCATAATTTTAGAAATAAATTCTTAACTCATCTCAAACTGCCATTTCTCTGTGTTACACGATGTGTCTGAGCTTCACTTTTTTCCATTTCAGAATTTTGTAGCTTCTAAAATAAGCTGCTGCAGTTTCCAACTAATTAGAAACAAAAAATATACATAGTTACAAGTAAGAATCTAAAATTTGAAACTCCTATTACCTTTTTTTTGCTGAGGTATCAATAAATTTGTCAAACCCTCTAAAGAAGCCACTCTCTTTTCTCTCTCTCACTTTCGTGATGTTTGCTAATTAACTTTTTTTGGCTGGTGAACATGTTTCTAACCACTAGAAAGAGTAGAATTTCCTCTACTTAAATCTTACGCTTTATATTCTGATTTCCCTTTATTATCCTTCTGTCAATGATAATTGTTTGCTTTATGTGCATCAGATTTGATGCTCTGAATATTGGAATAGTGACAAACCTATTTATAGCTTATTTAGAAAGCTAGATAAATTGTAGTAGTTTTGGGATATTATGTTCTATTTGTGACATATTTTTTATGTTTCAAGTGCATATTTGGAAGAAACAAAAAATTTTTTTAAACAAATGTAACTAAAATATACAACTTCTCATTTTAGCTTGAAAAACTTCTGGAAATTAAAATGTCAACATTTTAATACATTAGTTTCCTTGTTTTGTGCTGCCCTCTCTAAACGGCCCGACATGGCCAGGTGGTTAGGATGCTTGACTCACAAACTGCAGGTCGCAGGTTCGAATCCCCGTCATACCAAACATGCTTGCCCTTTCAGCCATGGGGGCATTATAATGTGATGGTCAATCCCATTATTCATTGGTAAAAGAGTAGCCCAAGAGTTGGTGGTGATGACTAGCTGCCTTTCCTCTAGTCTTACACTACTAAATTAGGGACAGCTAGTGCAGATAGCCCTCATGTAGCTTTGCACAAATTCATAACAAACAAACCCTCTCTATGCACAATTTTCCCTCTCAACTACCCTTGAGGCTCCTACCTATATCAGATCTTTACATGTAGTATAGCTGCATTGTAGCATGCAACAACCATCCACCAATAAGAGTGTGATACACCCTTCTAGTGCAACTGACTACCTCTATACTATAGAATACAGTCATCACTTCTCAATTTAGCACTTGTGTGTAATGACATGTCTTTTTTTTTCTGTCTGTGAACTTTTTATACATAGGTGTTTTTCAGTGGAAGTATCTATAAATTCATGTAAATCTATAGTTGGTTGCCTACTAACTACATTTGTGTTGGGTTTGTGTTTGTCTGAGGTGGCGGTTTTTGTGCAGTGGGTAATGGGGTCTTACTTGTGGCCTAAGCCTTCTTTTGTCCCTGACATATCTCTATGTTTTTCATTCATGATGGGAGGGATTTTGCTGGTTTTCTCTCAACTACCTTTGCCTCATACCCAAATTGACTTGATTCTACATCAGCTTTGTTTCGTGACCAGGTTCCTCAGGTATGGTTTTTACATATTCAATGATTTTTCCCATTACTTTGGGGCTTGCATGCCACATCCTTCTTCCTTTGTTGCCACATATAGTCATGCATGATTTTGTGCTGTATTGCTTTTCTTTGACTCCTAAGCTCTGGAGGCTTCTTTTTTTTCAAACTTGAAGGTCAGATCCTTTGCCTTTTGTTCATCTTTCCTAGTTTTAGGTTTTCCTACCTTCATATTACACACATTATTCTTTTCTCCTTTAACCTTCTTTCCATGGTGATTCACCATTCCCTTGTGTGATATTCAATAGATGCTCATTCACTTATCTTTTTTTTAATGGCATGTTTACCCTCCTTGGCATTTTCACTTTATATTTGGTTGATCTTTTGCTGGAGCTGGTTGGGGCATGATGCTCTTGTTACTCAATTGCTTTTGCTTTACTTATATCTGTTATGCCTTCTTTTGGCTCATTTTTTATCTGCCTATATGATTTTACTGGTGAGCTTGATTCTTTGGTGTCATATATTGGAGGCAACTTTCAAATGTCTTAGCTTTCTCCTCACTGGTTTACCTTCTCTCCTGTGCCCCTTCTTTGTCTCTCTCTGTCACCACTTTCTGTTCTTCTTCCTGTTCATCATTCCAATGCTGTAGCCTTCAGTGCTGTCAGTCTTGGTGGTGACTGTCCTATGGGCTCAGGGTCAATAGGGCCTGTTTCATTTCATTTATGGACCTTTGCCCTCCATTTGTGGCCAGTTGTTGAGTACTGGGATTTCTTTCAGAGAGCCTTAACCTTCTTTGTTTCCACTCCTCCTCTACTGTCTCTTGTTCCCATTACTTTCCATCTTCCAAGAGATTTTGTTTCGTGGCAGTATTGGTCCTAATGGCTCCTATTACTATAGTGAATGGGTGTCACATCCTTTTCCAGGATTTTATTCGTGTCTTTTTGTGGTTCCCAGGGAATCTATAGTTAGTTGTCTGGACTTGCAACTTTCATGTCTCAGTTGGTTTCTTGTCCCTCATTGATTTCTCACCCTACAGTAGTCTTTTGCCGCAAGTCTTGGGATGTACAAGGTGGACATCTCAGATGCTTACTTTCTCATTTGGCTCCACCCCAACAAGCCTCCTACAGCCATTCTCTTCTCCTCCTTTGGGAGGCAGTTCATTTGGGTTAGTTGGTCAACTTGAAGGAGTCACATCTCACACCCATTTCATTTGGTTTTTTTTGTTTGTATCTCCATAGGACCCAGTCTTTTCTTCTTCTTTTGAGGGATCTGTAGAGATTAGTTTCCCATGCCATATATTTTTCTCTTTTCACTGTGCAGCTGGTTCTCTCTTTTTTGGGTACTTGGGCTTTCATGGAATCACTTATCCCCTTGGGTCATGCTCATTTGCAATGTGTGCAATGCATTGCACATTCTCTAGATCCTTACTTGGATCCTTTTTCATCAACTATTCTTCTTCCTTACTTGAAGACTTCACCTGGTGACTTGACAAAACTACTCCCATAGTGGGTATTCCTCTTTCTCTCACCTGAGTCTCTTTCTTTTTCCAAATGCCACCTTAATGAGATGGGAGGTATGTCTCAACTCTCAAGTGAATTTGAGTTGTTGTTTTACCACAACATGTTGTACCTTCAAATACATCTTTTAGAACATTTGGCAGTACATTGAATTTTTTTAACAGAATAATTCATAGACATAGATGATACATACAGTCAACTCTGCAGTTGTCTGCTTTATCAGTCACCAGTGGGACACTTCATCTCACTCTCCCTGTTTCCAAATTAATGACCTTTTTTTGGGCTCATTCTTCATAAGTATGTCTGATAGCTTTTTCTATTCCAGGTACTCTGTGTCATTGGGGGGTCATCTTTCTAGGCCCACCAAGATACTACCTATTGCTTGTTCCTCTGGTGTTCAAGTATCTGTGCTTTTATCTGGACATTCTTCTAGTTATTTTTGCTATTCTTCTTAACACCTTATTCCCACTTTTATGGTCCAGTATTACTCTTCCCTCAGCTTTAGCTGGGAAGGCATTCCACCAAAACTTTATTTTTTCCATGCCTACCCTCTTACTTGTCTGCCCACTTGTGTGTTCTCTCATTCAGGATACTCCATGTTGAGACCTCCTGATAATTTCATACTGGCAAGACTAACCATGGTTTTCTCTATTGCACCTTCTCCTGTCCTCTTCCTCTACTTCTGTCGCTCTCCCTACTCCTTCAACCTCACTCATCCCTCTCCCTTCCAGCAATGTATCACTTCGACTTTGTATCTGAGGTTTGTTTAGTCCCTTATGAGACATTCCAGACTCTCTTTACATGTAGTCTTTCTTCTTTTTTGTTCAGCTTATTTTGTCTCCCTCCTTGTCTATCAATGACAAGGGTTAACATTCCATAGTTGGTCTCTGCATCATGTTTTCTTACATTCCCTTCCTTCTATCCCCCCATCTTTCCAAATTTTTTTGTTTGTTGTTTGAATGACGCTTATCGCTTTTGACCATGGCTAGTTACTGAGCAGCTTTGTTGTCGTCATGTGTTCTTCTCCTCTCCTGTCTTTTCTAGGCTTTTTTTTTGCCTCCTTTGTCCTACTTGTCTTCCAAGCCTTTCCTAATTTGAAGTAAATACTGTTTTCCACACCCTTACTCTGCCTCTCTTTGATACTTTAGTTTCTTGTTTCTTTTGCCATCTTTCGCTCAGGTCCTAGTTGATAAGTATGTCGTTGTTACTTCCGGTAATGTTTCCTTCCACTTCTCCATATTATTCTCACTCTGTCTGAATCATTTTCTCTATCCCATTCATGTGGTTTGTTCTTCTTTCGCCTACTCTGCTCCTTTTCATGGTTCACACTCCTATCTATTTATTCTTCGGAATTTCTCATCTCCCAGTGATATTTCTCCTATTATTCTGAAGGGATGGCTACAGCAAGTCATACATTTAGCCTGTGGTTCATTTGATTTAGATTCACATCACCTTTTTCAAGTCTCCTCTCACCAAATTTGATACCTTACTTTCTCTCTAAGTCTTCACTTCAGTCATCCATTGGAGAAGTTTGTATGGCTAGCATGTGGAATACTCCACTTACTTTTGTCACACATTTTCTTCATCCTCTGGCCATCTCTTCTTCTGGACAATTACTTCCTCCTGTTGCCATTCTACATACCCCCTTACTAGCTCTGAATTGGTAAGTTTTCTTTTTATATATCTTGCTTACCTTTACAGTGGCCTATTTCTACCTCTCTGAATCTTGATCAGTGCCAAGTGGTGCCTCTCCAGGTACACTTAGCTTTAAACTTGCACCATGTGACCTTTAAAGGTTTATAATGTTCACTGATGAGATGAGGTGTTCCACAAGACTGCTCAAGGGTTTGTTGCAGTATATTGCTTCATAAATAAGGTATGTTCCAGACCATACTAACTCATTGACTATCATGACTAAAGTGGTATCAGTATTGTTACCCTTCCCTCCGGTCCTAGTTGAATAAACTGGGATCGACCTGCTTTTCAAAATAAGGTTTTTGTGGTCAGCCATTGCACAAGCTTAAGGTATTGTTTTCCTCTGGACTCCCCACCACATTGTTTCTCCCTTTTCTATTGGAGTACAGAACCAGTTCCTACTCACATGGGTGGTGGACCATGGAAGCTTCGTCCTGAGTGTGATCGCTTCTACTCAGTCAGGAGTAGGGTTGTGATGTCCTGTTGGTGTAGATGGTGAGTACTCTTCTCCTACTGTGGACTAAAATATCCTATGTCAGCTGGTTTTTGACTGGACAAATCCATCACATGCAGTTCAACTCTCCAACTGGATTTTCCCCCATCCTATCACCACCTGGAGGTCAGTTCCTGGGTGGTCTAGTGTTGGATTAGCATAGGATCAGCCAACATAGCTCCTCACACATGTAATTGGTGGAGGACCCTTCTCCTACCAGAGATTGGACGAAAAATTCCTGACACTGCCTGGTTTTCGACCGGAGTTGACCCATCATGTTTGCATTCAACCTTCCTACCATTGCCCGGATGTAGAGTTCCCAAGTGGCCTGGTGTTGGTTGTGTACTGGGTTTACACACATGCCCTGCCTGGGTTGTCTGAACAGAAGTAGCTATTCCCTTCTGCTTCCTGGACATAAGGTGAAGACAGTTGGGACCGTCTTCCTACCAATGACTGAAAGCTACATACCTAATGCTGCCTGGTTCTTGGAATGGAGTTGATCCACTAAATATGGTCTGATGTATCCTAGTCACTGTACACCATCTGGCACATCCTTTTATTGATTGGACTTGCATTTTTTCCACCTAGATTAGCAATACATATCTTTACATTGGATGAAGAGTATACCTTGATACAGATGTGGTGTGGTCTCTCATGAGCAGTCCACACTGTGGGTTCTCTTCAGATGCCTTCCGAAGAGTAGTTATCTGGGTAAATTTTGCACTGATCCATCCACCATTTCATTGTGGGAGGCAAGGTATGTGTTTCTGATAGATACTTAGCTGTGCTAACACTTCTCACCCATCCTTCTCAATTCTGGTGCATCATCTTTTGCCTAATCTTGAAGAGTGATGGTTGTGTTCTACAGTATAGAGGGAGTCAGCTGCACTAGGAGGAATAAAATTGATGAACATACTAGCTTTTACGTCCTGCAGAATAGTATCATTGATGACACATGTTCAAAGTACCACATTAACCTTGACTTCAAAGTAGTAAATGATAAAGTATGCCTCCAACTTGCTAAATTGGTAAATACAATAATTTAAAACAAGGGAATTGACCAGATGTAGATATGTTTTATCCTGTTAAGTGACTTCTGATGTTAAATTGGTATGTCCTTGAAACAGCTCTGTTCAGAGTAGTGGCCCATCATTCCTCAGGACCTTAATAACTGCTGTCCTTGGTTATTATTTCCCATATTTTAAATGAAATTTGATGATCTTTAAAAATAGTAAAGACTTATCTACTAAATATACATTTTAAAGCATTGCCTAAATGACCAATCATTTGTATTTCTAATCAAATGACAAATAATCATATGAATTATTTGTTTAAAAATGAATGATCCTGAATTGATGATTTTATAACAGTCATAACCAAAATACTATAAATTTCAGTTATTCCCTTTTTTTTGAGGATATATGTGTTTGTATTTCATTCTATGGTTTCTTCTTACAAAATTGAATTGGAGTAAAATTTTGGCTCATTGAACAGCTTGTGTATGCAGTGTAAACCTTATCTTGTCAAATAACTCTTCCTGTTGGACAGTGCAATTTAGTCTGGAATAATAGCGTTGTTATTACCCCTTGAACTTAAGAATGGACTTGCCTCAAAACATGTAGTATTAATTTTATAAGACTGATTATGAGTACGCAACATTCAATGCTGGTAATGTGGATAATTATTTTAATTGTATTAAAATTTATTGAAACTCATTATAAAACAAATGTAATGTTCTTATATTTTAAGATATTGCTATCAATTTTGTAAATATTTTTTACCTAGCATACTGGAATACAAGATGAAATTAGTTCTCAAGGAAGCAGTTCAGAAGAGCTGGATAGAAGCAGTATTTTATATAAAGATTTGGATTGTCCTCCTGTGAAAAGACCCAGATTGGGCAGTTAATGGTTTCTATTTGACAGTAATTTCTTTTGAAGAAAATGTGCTCTTAACTGTAAAAAAAATTAATGAGCTGATACAAAGAAATAAAAATTTTTATACATACTTTTTTATTATTTTCAAATTGATATGCTAAGTTTATTTCAGTTTTGAAGAAAAATGTTAAACAATTTTTTTAATTTTTTGTCAAAAATGTTCAGTATGATGTCTTGTTTTCTCCGTTTTTAGCAGGAAAAAATCAATTGGAGAAGCACATGTCATTTGTTCATTTTATTTCATATAGAATATATTTTCCAAAGGAAATTTTATTCTGGTGTATATTTTATGCACCTTACTGATGAGAAACCCACTTTTAGAAAATAAAAGTTTGGAGATAGCTTGATTGGGTATTGAAAGAAACTTTATTACCAGTAACAAATGCACAGCCTTTTCAACAAGCTTTTGTCATCATCAGGTACAAGTAATTTACATAGACACTGGAATATATATAGAGTATGGAACAAAGAGGTCCCATGACCAAAGATTGCTTAACAGCTTAGTAAAGGTATCTTAGTACTCCAGGCTGTTGGCTTAGAATAGGACTGTTTTGTTCATTTAAGATTGCTTCCTTTATTTTATGTTTGCTTCTTTGTTTAAAATTACAGTTTTTTGAATAGATATATTGTTGTTTTTTAAGTTGCAGTGGTGTGAACATGGGAGAGTTTTTTATTGTTTTCAATAAAGTTGATTTCTAATTTTCTTCCAGTTTCTCCATTGTAAAATTCTGGATAGCTATTACACGTTATTTTATAAATGATGTTGGTAGTGTGTGATTCTACGTAATATTTATTTAGTAATGATTTTAGTTTAGGGCCACATTTTAGTTTGATTTGGTGAGAGTTTTGGGCCTTCCAAAGGATTTTTTATTGATTTGGGAGTCCAGACTTTGGGCTAAGAACTTACTTTCTCCAAGGACATAATTTTACTGGTAGAGAAATCGTGAGAAAGAGTTTATACCATACTTTTAGCAAGAAGGTTCACCGGTTTATTGCAACAATGTTGTTGAATTAATACCAGTGCTAAAGCTGCAGTCTGTGAACCAAGTGAGTGGCGATTGTTCATTGATTCCTCCAAAAGAAGTTTAAAGGTGTTCTCCTTCACAATGGTAACATATATGCATCTCTTCCTATTGCTCATTCGGTTCACTTGAAGGAAATGTACGAAAATCTCAAACTTCTTCTCAATAAGGTCAAATACAAAGAACATGGTTGGATACTTTGTGGAAACTTATAAATATTTTGTATGTTGTTGGGTCAACAATCCGGTTATACAAAGTTTCCATGTTTTTTTGTGTCAATGAGATAGCAGAGCACGAAATCAGCACTAAATAAAGAAGAAATGGCCATGCAGAGTCAGCCTGATAAAAGGATATAAAAACATTGAATAAGAAAGTATGGTTGACTCAAAGAAAGTCCTATTACCTCCATTTCGCATAAAACTGGGCTTGATAAAGCAGTTTTTAAAGGCCTTAGACAAAGATGTCGAAGTTTCAAGTATCTGTGTGGACAATTCCCAACACTTTTAGAAGGGAAACGATTTTTATGGGCTTTAGATTAGGAAATTGACTTCGAATGAACAGTTCGAAAAGACGATGAGGAAAGTCGAAAAAAAAAGACGTGGATTGCTTTTAAAGATGTTATTGACAAATTTTTAGGAAACGAGGATGCAAGTTACAAAAATACTGCCAAAAACATGCTCGATAAATTCAGAGTTGAATTGTAATATGAGCTTGAAAGTTAATTTCTTACACTCACATACTGACTATTTTCCTGAAAATCTCGGTGCCGTCAGTGAAGAACAAATGGAAAGGTTTCCTCAAGACATCAGAGAAATGGAGATGAGGTATCAGGGAAGGTGGAACATCATAATGATGGCTGATTTCTGCTGGTCATTGAAACAAGATTCTCCAGATGCAATACATAAAAGAAGGACCACCACACCTAGTTTTGAGACTAAAATAGGTAGATTTTACCAACAAATATGATGATTAATGAGGATGCATATTCGTTTGACATCAATGTTCTTCCCTTTTCTTCAGTTTGTTTGTAATTATGTTAAAAACATAATAAAATATGTTCATTGTGGTAAATGAAATAATAATTTGATCTAAGTAAGAGCATTTTTGTCTTCCCAATTTGCAAAAAATTCTAATGTGATAAAAAAAATTAATATTATTTTTGAACTCTGCGTGGCTGAATTATAGAAAATCCATCATTAAAGGCCTGGCATGGCCAGGTGGTTAGGGTGCTCGACTTGCAATCTAAGGGTTGCTGGTTCAAATCTCCGTCCTACTAAACATGCTCACCCTTTCAGCCGTGGGGGCATTATAATGTATTGCTACATCCAGTCTCTCTTTTCTAGATTCCTCTCATCTTCTGTGCCTGGAGAAGGAAGTGTCATCTTTTTTCAGGTTTTGAACACTATCCTCAACCCTATTTTAGGGCTTTACTCCTGTCTTTGTCATTCCAGGATAACAAACTGTTGTAGATCTATCATTTTTCAATTGTCCTTGAACCAATTTCTTATCTCTCAAATAAAGATGGACAGTTTTCTTATTCTGAGGTGAGTTGTCTCTCCAGGCATGTGGGGATAACAAAGTCAGTGTTTCAGATGAATTTCTTAAAATACAGATTTATTCGACCATCTATTGCTCTTCCTATTTTGACCATGCTGATGGATTTTTTTTTTTTTTCAGTTTCAGGCCCTTCCATTAATGTTCTTTATGACCCTGTATGTTTTCACTCAGGTTCCGAGAGCATTTTCATGGCGGATGCATTAGTTGTGCCTGCAGTTGTACTGCTATGTGGATTTCTGGCTCCTTGTCTCACCATCTGAAGAAGCATCCTTGGCTGCAATTTCCATTTTTCTTTGGGGGTCATCTCATTTGGGTTGGCTGGTCAGGCTTTACAAGTTCATTTTGCCTCCCTTACAGTACCTTACTTAAATACATTCCCAACATCAGCAGTATGTGTATGTGCTAACAATGATTAAGTTTGTGTCTTCCCCCCTTAGCAGATGGGGTGATGATGGCTCATTGTGTTGTTTTACATTTACGTAATAATATAACTTATATCACTTTAAGTCATTGCATTTTTAAAGGAAGTCTGTTCAACTTATTTGCAGATCAGATGTATCCTTTTTTACATCTTTGAATATGAGGCTGCTGGTTACCACAGCTCTCATATCTCCTTCTCTTCCTACACAAGATGGTCTTTAGAGAACTGTGGCTTCTCTGAAAGTCCTTGTTCTTTCCAGATGCACACATTTGTATCCTCTTCAATGGACTATGGGTGATCCCTGTTACATGTCCAGAGATCCATTGTCTTCTCTTTTCTCTCCATCCATCTCTTCACACTTCTCACTGTGGTGGTAGCTCACTCAGCCCCAGTAGATCCTGGGCAATCCTCTTTTCCCCACCTCACCTAGAATTACATAAATACCTTGAGCATTGTTCTGGACATTTGAACTATTCAATTTTACATCTTTGAGACATGGAGCTCCTAATTACCATAGCTCTCATGTCTTCTTGCATGACGGGTTCTCTGACTCCTCTTGAGTCCCTTGTTCCTCTTTCATAGCATCCTCTTCAGTGGACAATGACAAAACTCTTGAGTATATCTAGAGATCCACTGTCATCTTGTGTATATCACCATTTATTCCCCTCTTCCTGTCATGGTGACTCGGTTGGTCCTGTACAACCATGGCCATCCCTCTTCTACCCCTCACCTAGAGTTTCATCAGTTCACAGATGCCTCTGTTCAAGTGGAGTGTAGCTGAACACCTGGATCTTTACAGATCTTGTATCCAAAGGAAGGATCTCTCCATATCATCATCCTCAAGATGGCTGCATAATGAGCTTGCCATTCTCTTCTGTCTATTCAATTTATGTTTCATTCTAACAGCTCCACTGTTGTTTCTTTTATCAACTAACAGGGAGGAACTTGCCCTTGGTATCTCTTATTTGTGACTATACGTTCACTTTTGAGTCCAAAACCATTACTTTCAGTTGTTGGCCTGTCACATCTTGGTTGCAGCTCTGGCTGTGGATGCTCAGGGTGGGATTGGTCCAATCTTATCTGTGTGTTTGTCAACAACTATACATCTTATCCCTGATCATTCTGCATTTATTTTTCTGATTATTACAACTTCTTATGAGCCAGTCTCATCAGTCGTTGTTGTTTGGTTCCTTTTCTGGACTGGAACCTTTGTTAAGTTCTCAGGTTCCACATGTCCCCCATTTTAACCTTTGGCCACCTGTTCCCTGTTGCATCTTTCTTTAAAGATGTATTTTATTCTCCTAACATACAGGAGATGTTGCTCTAATATTTTGCAATAGATGCCTTCCACATTCTTTACCCAGAGATAGACTGCTTTATTCCCAGACTGCTCCTTTCTCCCTAAAATTTGGCCTCCCTGAGAGGGGGATCACTTTTTCCAATCACCCTTTCCTTTTTTTCTCTATATGATTGTTATGATCCCAATCATCCCCTTTGTTCTGCTTGGGTTGTTTGTTATCTTGATTGTGCTATTTCCTTTTATGAAAATCAACATTGTTTTTTTCTTGCCATGGAATTCCCATTCTTCTCATCACTTATTTCCTTCTACTTTTATTGGTGGGATTCAGCAACTCATCCCGTTAGTTTTTTATTCTTTGGGTGGTGATGATTTTTTTGTCTTTTTATGTCAACTCCCATCAAGTTCTTCATCTCACATCTTCTTTTGCCTCTAGCAGTCAACATTCCCTGGATGTGGTTTTGCAAGCAGGTATGTGAATAACCCTGACACTTTTGTATCACATGTCTTACACCATATTGCAGTTTCCTGTGCTTCTAGTGTTCATTTCCCTCCACTTACTATTTTATAATCTTTATAGAGGTTCTAAGGAGGTGAGTTGTTATTTACATTTTGCAACTCAACAACCACCTTATAAATCTATATTGGAGATGACGACATTTACCATATGGCCAGTGTTGTCTTATATGGACTACTTCTCTCTCACACAATCCTCATTGAATAGTGGATTGTTAAGCCCATCTACCCATGCCAACTGTTGAAATATGGTTTTCCACAAGATTTTTTTCA